CTTCCGATCTCTTCCGACTCTTGTCCGATCTAAAATTAGTCAAATTTTTAAATTCGACTTTTGCAAAAACGAAACAGAATTATTTTCTAGTCGATTGTTGCCGCGATTTTAGGAACATGCTGTACATTTCATTTTGATATGGAAAATTTTGTTGTCTAGTTGGAGAAATTTGGATGTGGCTCGGTGTTCTTCGATTGTACGAACACAGAACTTTCAAATGAAGAGTAACATCGTAATTCACGGAAATAAAAGGAAAGATTCAAGAAAAAAATGAATGTACCTTTTGTTTAAAATTATATTTTATAACTTATGTGTGTACAATTTCTAATAAAATATATCAGCCGTCATGCGATGTGCATAAGTATACTCGAGTAAACGATAGGGCAGTTTAAAGCATCCGTCGGACATTTTGGTGTCGAGTTCAGGATCCGGATTTCCGGGCAATAATACAGTCTACAAGAAAATATAATTATTTATATATCAAGATTTTGATATCTGATTAATTTAATTTTACCTTGGACAATATTTTTCTACCGCTTCTTTCAACGTGTATTTTCCATTGTGGTTGTTTCTTGATATTTCTTGGACCACAAACCCCATGAAAGCTTGACATGGTACTCCTGTTACCTGAATGTCATTTTCTGGTTCAATGGTTGCTAGCTTGTCTGGCAAACACTCGTTTTTATTGCTATTGGAAGAACAAAACACAATTTCATAAATTATTATTACACTACCAATGTTTATGCAAATTCATTTCTTTACGCGTATAATTAAAGAAATATTTATACATCATTAGCCAAAAAATCTAACGAATTTTACTTTATTTTATATTTTGCATAAGACATGTACGCAAATGAAATAATCGAATAATGGACTGGAAAATAAAAGTAGTAAAAAAATATTAAATTTATATTAAATATTAATATTTATAGTTAATAATACGCTTTGGATTGTATAAACTTTTGCATATTATGTATATTCTACGTAATATATTTTTGTAATTTCATAATTTTTTATAAATGTATGAATATTCGTTTAGTTATTATACGCAAAAATGCGTGTAAGATAAGACAATTTCTATAATTTTCTTCTTACTTGCAAAGAAAACTTTTCACCGAGTCTAAATTGCAGAACATGTTCGGTTTAAGCGCAACACCAGGAACACTCCAAAGTAATTGTGCTTTGGCTGCGATTTCCAGAACTTCATCGTCCAATTGTTTCGCAACTTTCGATAATTTCGAGCTACAAAGAGATCATTAAAACGTCGAGAATAATAAAGAAGTTTGTAGCCTCACCCTTTGAAGAATTTATCGATCGACACATTGATGTTTCTTATGTTTCCATTTCCAAGTACCAATCGTTGCCTGAGCCTATCCTCTGGACTCGATATCGAGGAATGATAGTTATTCGGATCGTTCAATTTAGATTCTAATCTTGTTCTATTGATACTCGACTGATTCAAGTTTCTCTTATTGGGCTCTTCCTTTATTAAATTTATCAGATACACCTACGATAGAAATTCGCGTTACTAACATTTTAGACATTCCGAACGAATTCTAAAATTCCAAAGATTTGCTTCGCGAGATCTTACATTGAAATCTGGATGTCTTCTGGCTGCAGTCTCTATGTAGCAATAATCTGTCGTCGACCAATTTTGATTAGCCAATTTGAAAAAATATGCATTGGACGATGTTCTGACTTCTAGGATCGAGATTTCTTCCATTCTAAGATATCGAATAATTTATAGAATAATTCTAATTTCATGTAAAAATTGGTTTTTTATAAAATATAATTATAATTGGCTAATTCATAAAATATTGGTTTCAATAAATTTTTGTACCGTTTATGGAAATCATTGAGCAAGTATTCTTAATAGATAGACTATAGCAATGGTGCGAAGTAAAAATTTCAAAAGATTTAAAGAAAAAGTAAGATAACTTATAACTAGAACTTGTATAATGACTAATGTTACTAAATTATTAAATGGGAATAAATGCAAGAGTGCTGTATCATAATTGAAGTAGAAAATTATTTTATTTACTTTAAATATTTTATATATTTTTTCATATTATTTTATGCATTGTGCGCATTTTTGCGTCTTCAAATTTTTCATAAATACATAAAAATCCGCAGTTTTAGTAATCATACAAATATAATGTAATTGTCATAATCAATCATTTATAATGTAGAAATAAATACAGAGTTAATGAAATGTAATTTTAATGGAAAATTATGAGCTTTAAATGTATAATAAGGAAATTTTAAGTGCCAATACATAAATGAGTGGGAAGAAACTGATCAACTCCAACGATAGTGTTATAAGTATTATTTTTTTAAATTTATTTTGGAACATTTATTTGGAGCAAGATTTCGATTAATCAGTAATTTAAGGACAAACAACTAGGATAAATCGAGATTTAGCGAATAATTGAGACTAAAAATAATTGTTTTTTTATACAAAATTTGTTTATATATATTTATATTTTCTTATATTTGTTGAGTTCATATACACAATCATAATATATAATTTACACATGTTTATTGAGTTTATATATATATAATATATGAGCAACAAACGAACTTGTGGAAGTAAATTATTTATTTTTTGGTAATTTTGGTACCTGGTTAATAAAACTAAGAAAGTCAAAAATAACGTTGATCAGTTTGGTTTTTGAAGAGATTTACAATTTTTCAAAAATTACATTTCATTAACTTTGAAATATTTACAACTTGAGATTTAAGATATTTCCACTTTAGGATTCTTCTTTTAAACTAATAAAAATGTCTATAATATGAATTAACTGCTAATTAGATTAATCTCTTAGCGAATTTTGTATAGATTGTCGTTTTTTTTACACTTTATCGTCCTCTATATGTTATGTTATCTATTAAATAAAATTTTACACTAAAAAAATTTTTCTTATTTAATAAAAATAAATTTAATAAAAAAAAATTGTTCAAAAAAGAAGAATTGAATCCAGAATTGACGGATTGCCATCTAGCATGCTACCATGGAGCTACGACTGTTCTTGGATATCATTTCAACTGCACTTCAACTGCATTTATAGGTATAAAGAAACTTTAATTGCAAATATCTTAAAAACCCTAATGTATAAAATTTCAGCCGAATCCCAGACTCAAAGGCCTTGCAGTCTTTTTGTAACCAAAAAAGAATTGAATAGTGTTCTCGAATAAGGATCTGTGTCACATTTTGGTTGAAATTGAATTAATAGTAGGATTCTAGAATCTCTGGAGATTCTTTTAGTGTATATAAGTTGCAAACCTATCTGTCATAAATCCATGTAAAATAGAAGACTTTAAGTATATGTTTGAAATTTTTGGAAGTATCATTTTAAATCTTATCTCGCAACATAGCAAATATAGTAAATATACAAATCCTTCAAGGTTTTTATCACAAGGTAGAATTGAATATTTTTGTAAGATTTCACATAAATCTTCTACACGAAAAAAAAAAAAAAATTATGATTCAGTCTCAGAGGTCAGTATGTCCATCTGATGCTTTTTATCATCTCGCTATATTCTGTCTATTAAGAATACAAGTAATAATTTTGTTGAAGTGAAGAGCATGAAGATTGCGTAGACACCTGTTACCGACAACAGTGGGCACACAAATGGTCACCGTAAGGAAGATCAAGAAAACCAGACTTCCTATGATTAGACAGGCTGTCAGGAATGCGAAAAATATATCAGCTGGCCATTTTCGTAATTGATTTATTACGCCTTTGATTATCGGCGTTTCGCAAGGTGTCTCGACGAATCTGGCGAACTTATCGCCGTGATTGTCCGGGTAAAGAAGCGATACGTCCTCTCCAAAGGGATCTATAATTGTCGAAAGAAATAGTATAAAATGTTCGAAGATTCATCCTGCTTTGATTTATCTTAAGTTAATTTGAATGGAAGGGATAAAAGTTCGTTCACAGATTTTTATTCCTCATTATTCTTATCCAGTCATTTTATTAAGAATGTCTAAATATTTGATAAAGGAAGAAATTTCTACAAAATTCTTTTGTTTTCAACTTTTAACCGATATTATTGAGCTATTTCTTACAAAATTCTTTGTTTTTAACTCTTAACTGACATTACTGATTTTAACTCTTCAATGATATTGAGCTATGAAATATCATAACAAGTCAGAGTTATTTAATTTTGAAATTTTTAATTGAATTGAATTTGATTAAATTTAATAAATTTAATTAAATTATGAATCTGTATCATGGACAACATAAAATAAGAAATAAAATCGAGAATTCTAAATTTTAGTGATTGACATTCTTTTTTTTATTGGCATTCATTGTTAAATTATAATCTGTTATTAAAATAAATAATTTTAACAAATAATAATTTTAAATAAATAAACAATAAATAATTTTAGCAAAAGAAACAAAACAGTACTATACATCATATTTCAGAATATGAATCCATTAATGGTTTATTCTCTGATTTGAATAATTCAAATAATATAAATTTCTATAGTCATCTATAAATATTACGAAGGTTAATATCTTATTAGTTTCAATTATTTTATGAAAATTTTTGAATTTCGTGTCAGGTTGTCCGAGTTTATTTTCTATTTCTCTATTATTGCTTTCAAATAAATTTCGAAGCATTCTTGCCAAAAAATATCACGAGTCCAGTAAATCCAACCAGTCTGTTTTTGCAGTTTCAAAGAAATTTTAAAAAAGTTGAGTGAGAGTGTGAACGACGATGTTTTTTCTTTTTTTGAAGCGGTTTCTCTCTGATCACTTACCCTTCGTGTTCGGCATAATGTCGTTACTTTCACACTACTAATATCGTTCTCGTCTCCGGCTGTTTATGCAGTTAGTTCCGTTCGCCAAGTCAGCATTTCGCAATAATTGACCGTATTTAAATTGAGTCACGATGATTTGCCAGACTACGGAGGTGGACTGTGTCACGCGGTTGGCATAATGTTCAAAGCGGAGCATCGAAAATGTGTTTCGCCCAACGAAGGTACGCGAAATGGAAATCTCCGCGTGGTGAAATCATGGACGAATGTGACGTTGTGATGTTCGCTTGTTTTCCGATACATTGATTCTGATCGTCACGCGATATTGTCATTTTCTTCATCTTTCCTTTTCGTTTATTATTCTAGCGATGTGTTTCTAATGCTCGCCCTCACTCCAACAGATTTGTGCTCAGTTATTATACTATCATTCGTTCAGGGCTGGGGAAAAATAGATTTTTGAAATAAATGTGTAAATAAGCAATAATAAAAATAAATAGTAATAAATATTTTTATTTTCTCAAGAGAGTAATGCAGAGTTTAGTGAATAATATACTTCTTTGAAATAGTATTTCAAATTTATGCTTTAATACTAACTCATACAAATGCCATTGTGAAATAAGTATTTCATTGAAATATATATAAGATAATAATAATATATGTTTCAAATAATAATATTTCCATTCATTCTTATTTTAAATAATAGTGTTGTAAGTAAGTTTCGAAACTTTGTACTGTAATAGATGTTTATCGAAACATAAGACTTTTATTTTATTTAAATATTTTTTTCGTTTGTAGTAAATAAAATAGCGATGTATTTTCACAATTGCCAATACTCATTTGACTATAAAATCTTCGTTTCTCTTTAAAAACTTTTTTATACTGTTTTATTGAATATTTTGAAAGAATACTAACATATGCATGTTGAAAGGTTCTGAAAGATATCGCTATTTGATATTGATAGATTACTTCAATATATAAAGATATTAAAAAAAAAAGAAGTATGCCAATGCTTCTTTATTTCAGTATACATTTATTTATAATTTTAACCAACTAAACAATCATAACGTTCTGTATGTTTCCATTCTAATACTATTCCAATATTTGTGAATGGAGAAATAGGAATACATCTAGAACAAGGAAAACAGTAAATTTACACGTAAGTTTCAAATGATCTTTATTACAAATAACATTTTCACAATTTACGGTAGAAGTCACGATGGCAGGTATCCATGTCCCGGAAGAACATTCGGAGCTACCACTTAATCGAGGTTTTTTTGTGCATTCCGTCTAAATAATATCAAAATAAATCGATTTGGTTCGCTCTGCGGATTGATTTAATCGGATAGTTGAGAAACACTCAAAACGGCTACCGATTTCGTGCAAACTTATTCTCGCGATCAATAGTGACTTTTTTAACTGGAAACGTTTTTATATACAGTAGAACTTTATTTATACGATATAATTATTGTCAGGATACAAATGGTTTATATAAGAGAAGTTAATTCTCCCCTCTATTGGTGATTTTTCGTTTCATGTAATAGGAGTTCAGGCTCAAATAAGTGGATTCAATCAGCAAGAGTTCACGTAATCGAATGTTAATAAAAATTTAGTTCAAATAAATGAAGTCCATATAAACGGAGTTCTACTGTACAAACATCGAGCTATTTACGACATTCTGAAAGCAATAAATATCAACTCTTTTAGTACTCAATATGCGAATTTCGCCACAAATACTGAATTTTCTACTGAAAAACAGTATTTTAAACGTGTTCTGTTCTTACGACAATGAAAGTTGTAGATTACAATACACAAAAAAGTTGTAAGGTACTAATAAAGCTAACTTATTTCGACAAGACACTTCTTTTCTTCGCAGTGATGACTATTTCTCTTTATATTTATATAGTCACAAGTATCGTACATAGAATTTATTAATGATTGCTTTCGCTATCTGTTGTTGATACAGTTTCAAACTGTCACATTAATCCATTGAAGACTATTCATTTGCAATATTTCTTTTCTTTTTTTTTTTTTTTGACATAAATTATCACTAAATAACACTATTTGATATTGTGGTTAATGAGTAAAATTTCAAGAATTTTACGTAATATTTCTTTTCATTTTATATTCAATTTTACATACAATAATGTCCCTTCATTTTATATTCAATTTTACATACAATAATGTCCCTTCAATAATGGTACATTTACAGAATTTTTAAGCACTGTATCAATGCTTGATCTTTAATGGATTAACTTACCGAGATTGACAGGAATCAAATAATACTGCTAAAATCTATATAGTTTTGTTTGAACATTGATGCTTTGTCAGGCATGGACGTAACTGATGTATCGATGACTTCAGTCACAATATCGTTAACTTAACATTTTAGAGTTTGTACGTACTAAATTGCAAAAATATGCTCTCGTTTGCTAGATACTCTTGTTACGTCTAGTCGATTTTTACACTTAAATCTATCAAGTATGCCAACTTTAAATAACTTAATCTTAATTTTTCGTTGCAGCTTTTTTCCTTTTTAATTCTGATTACTCAAATTTCAGTATTTACAATATCTCAATTCTGAAGTTTTACTTGGACAATTGTTTAATTAACAATTAGACCAGTGTATGCTTCATTTGCAAAATTACTTCACGAATATTTTTTTTATTCAAGCCTTTCGAATCCCCGTCGTTTGAACAAAGACAATTACACTCACGTTTCATTTCTAGAAGATTAATTTTACTAAATTGGACACATTTTGATTGGCTCTTTCAATTATTACACATGGAAGCTCGTAACCGACCTGCGGTTTGGATTTACAATCATTGTAAAATAGTGAATCAGAAAATAATTGTGCGCATATTCTTCTACTTAATTTCTACAATATAAATTTATAGATACTTATAGTATAATCTGAAAAATGACGAGTCTTAGACGAAGAATATATCATTGCGACAACACGTTCGTCGATAATTTCTTCAACACTTTCCTGTTTTATTTTTTCTACTCTCGATCATAATACGTGAACAATACTTACTATAATAATAAAACATTTCTAAATGTTTTTCAAATTTTCTTTTACACTGTAATACCTGGATTTTCTTATAACAACCAATAATATAGTGAATTAACAAACTACATTTTGTAGATTACAATTTTATAATAAGATTGTGGATAATTTGTAAAATTTATTAGTTTCTTCCTAATTTTCTTATCGCACATGTTGCTTGTTACTTGTGACTTGCAAGATCTCATTAATAATATTAGCTTGACTATGCTAATATTATGGCTATCATTTATTATTAATCTGGAAAGTTTGAATATAAAGAATAAAAAGTACAAAATATTCATTTTTATCCAGAAGAATTTTAAGAAATGATGACTGCATACATCATAAGATATGTATATCGATTTTACCAATTATCTAACAGAATTATGTATTAGAACAAAAATGTGAGGATTTCAAATGATAAACCTTTACAATGTTATTTATTATTTTTTAGATTTTATATCGTTTCTCAATATTTGAATTTTCATAATTTTCATATCCGAATTCTGTGACTTTTGTTTAATGAAAAGTAAATTTTCAAATCCTCACATTATCAGTGCTATTGATGCTAGGTAGACTAACAATAAAATCTTGCTAACAACTTTGATCTTGCTTTGGAAATGCACGAAACACTATTTTTTCTGTACAACGTAATTGCACTGGCACTTAGAAGCGGCACGTTACACTAGAAGAAAGGCACACTTTTCTCAGACGCTCGTATACGAGACTGTCTGCTTTCCGACAACATTTTTTTCACCAAATTTACGAGAACCATGTTCACTAACTAAATTCTTCGACGCCTCGCTGTCTAACGAACTATTATCACTGTTACGTCCTGACAAAGTTTCGTTCACATCTTGAAGCTGCGCGTTCTCGTAACTTCTTCTATTTCTCGTGATCACAGATTCATTGGAAATTTTTAAATCTTTCCTGACGTATTCTGGGCTGGAATTGCACTGTATTCCTTCGTAGAAGCCAGACTCTGGCGACAGATCCGATATCGGCAACAAATTTGAAGAATTCGATGGAACCGGAGACTTTGAAGAAGTATACTCATTAGATGATAAGTTAGGATGCGACAGTGAAGTACTACTGTCTTTAGTTAATATCTCCTGCGGTTGATGTGGTTTCGACGATTTCTCCATTTCTATCATCAATCTGTCGTCATTAGAGTTCAATCTTCCTCTGGTGTCTGTTTCTTGGATTTCTTTGGACCCTTTCACGCAAATAGCCTTCCTCGTCGTATTGAAATACTCCTTGCCCTCCGTGTGTCTTCTATTAACGGTAAAATTGTCCCTGTAGCCGGCCTCCGTCCCATTCTTATTATCCCAAGGGATCAGTATATACTTTCTAGACCCGTTTAAATTTTTCCTAGATCCATCTAGAGACCTTTTATCCTCCTCCAAGCCTCGAAGGACATTTCTGTGATAGAGACTTCTCTTGGAACTGTTCAAAGATCTTCTTTCTTCGTCCACGAGCGAATGCTTCCAGTTTTTCCGATTGGTTGACTTTAGCAACAACGGGCTTCCCTCTCGCGATGTTTCTGGCTCTTCGAAGATGATCTCACGGCTGTTTTTCAGGATTTCTCTATTCACTAATTCTGGTAAATGCTGTAGATCGACTTCGCCCATCACTTGGATCCCGTCAGGATCCAAATCCAGAATCTTGTAGTGGCTGTGGTCACGATTGGCAATTGCAGGCCCGTGATAGGACGAGTTTCTGTAAGAATTTCGACAAGTGGTCGCCTCGTCGGCGCTTGTTTCACTTCGGCCGCTATCCACGTACGTTAAATGGTGATTTGGATGGTTGTGATGATGATTTAGGTGCGGACGGTGACCGCAGTGGCACTGGCTGTCCTGACAGGATTCCGTTAGGAAATCCTCGTCGATTATCATACCTGGAAAATA